TTATATTTAGTTCATAATAATAATATGTTTCAGTAGTTAGAATCATAAACTTGTGTGATTTGTATGTAATACTACTAGTTCCAGTACCACATAAGAATTTTATATTTTCCTTCTTACAATCTTTACTTAGTAGTAAGACCCACACTTCTGTTGTTATTGCTTTAGAACTAAAACAGTCTAACTGATTATATATATGTATGTGTGTGTGTGTGTGTGTGTGTATATATAGTTTATTCTGATATTTTGCAAATGGTTTAAAACTCAGTGTACAAGTGATAACAATGAAACCCATATGTTGGTTGTGAAACAGGCTAAATACATTCATCTCAATAATACAGGGAAGCTGTGACATTCTCACAGTTGGGATTTCAATGCACTGAAGAGCTTAAATTTTGAATTCCAACATAAATCTTGCCTATAATGAGAGGAATGTGACCAGGACTAATCTTTTAAGTGCTGTAAAGTGATTTTTTGTGTAATTTATGGTGTCTGTATCATTTGGTAATCTCTTCTAACAGGATGTATCAAGTAACAAGGGGTCAGGCTCAGGCAGTGTTTATTGAAATCACCTGTACTATAAACTATTAAATACATTCACTAGTAGTGGCAATTAATTTTGTCTGTATAGTGAAACAATGTACACGGACATATGTTGAAATAAACTTGTTTGAAAGGTCAAAGAAATGATATTCAAGTACCGAAAAGCTTGCTTACTATCATATCTACAGTAATGTTGAAATGTGCCTGCACTGGACTGAACTAGAGTGACCACCAACAGGCGTGATAGTTTACGGCAAATGTACAAAGTTCACGCTGCTAACCTCAGGATTTATTCGGCACAATAAACAAAAGTATGGTTGCAATGAAGCATAAACATAAACTTGAAATAAAAGTACATTTATGAAACAAAATTAAAATTTTGTTTATGTACATATATAAACATGAAATCCTAGTTAAAAATAAAAATACTCATTTAATGTTTAGGTTTATTTACAACAATTATTTTCGGGTCTTGTATATTACTCAAAACCATAAGGAGAGTACGTGATTATTAAAAAAATTAAAAATAGATAAAATTTGCATTTTATGGACGATACAAATTTTTTGGGGATTTTAAAATAATGTACTAAAACATAAAAAGTAATATGTTCAAATCTGGAACAAGTATAAATATCGTAATCATTTCTTATAAATACCACAAGTATCAGTTACATCGATCAGATATTTTCAAAAGCTTTATATACTACATGAGTGAAGGTGATCCTTTGTAGCTTTAAATCTTTAGGTATATACCATAGTTGAAGAGTTACATTGATTGACTTAAACCATCTGTGGTCAAACATGACCAGTTGCAGTAATCAAATGAGTAAGCAACTGTCATTTAAGTGACCAGTGTTTAAGAAAACAGCAACTGGTCAAGATAATTCTCATTGTTAAATTAGGATACTTAAGTTTAAACTTGTAATTAAATGCATTTCTAGTATATACTATTTTCTTTTGTTAAGAAGAAAGTAGGTTGTTGGATACATTATGTAAAAGCAAACCATAAAAAATCAATACAAAAACCCCAAAAGACAAATGGTACAGTAAAGCTCTGAAGATTAAAGAAAAGAAGCAAGTAAATATAATGCTTGGTACATAATTGAAATCCTAATACTATTTGCACAGTAATCGGTATGTTCAATTACTTTGGGCCTTATTCCACAGGGTTGGCCATTTTACATCAATTGATGCCTGGAACAACAAGTTTTACCATTATACTTTGTCTGTTGGACAATTACTTTTTTTTACTTTACTATTTTTAATACAACTTTGAAATTACTGTGTCATCACTGTTATAAGACTAAACAAGAGTATTGCATGTGAAATATATACAATGCAACTATAAGTATGCAAAATCAGTGAAAATGTACCTTGTATCTGGCAATATAAATATAATGTCCGAGGTTGTGCTAGCCTTTAAAAATTGTCACATTCTTTCTTAAAATCAGGATTTTCAATCATAATGCCTATTTTTTTACATATTATGTTAAAGTAGTTCCTATTCGATTAACTAAGTTCACATGCAAACAGTAACATGCCACCTATAGTGCCTAACATGGACACCACACACATGTGCAGTGGTATATGGGATACTGGATATCTCAAAGCTATACATTAAGCTCATGCATTATTGAATGTTTGTAAACATTCACTGATCACTCACCTGTTGCAACAATACTATGTACAGTTTTCCAGATGTTTTATTCTAGATACTTTAATATTTTTTGTGCCTGTTCATATGCATGTTTATGGTAATATTAGAGTCTTAAGTGTTGTCTATAACTATTTTTAAAGTAGCATAAATTTAAAGTTAAACAACATAAAGATTAGAATAACATCAATTAATTTTCTAAAAAATATAACTTTTGATGATTAACTTTTATTTCACAAAGTTTAAAACTACTAATGGATGAATAAGAATAAAACTAGAAAGTCTATTCACATAATATTGTACTGTTGTGTTTACAACACTGTTTAATTTTTCTATGCTGGTTGCCGTAATGCTTTATTTTATGATGATAGTGTGTTAATTTTTTAATAGTTAGCTGTGTAACACTGTAACCAAATTTTTAGTATCATTTTGCAAGAAAGAAGAAGAAGCTTTCCATACAATAATATAGTATTTTAGATTAATCAGTGTCAATCATGTAACTCCAAAATACTCAAGTAAGTCAAACAGGGTTGAGATAACATTATTATATATTCTTTGGTGTAAACGTTTTAATTATTATAGGTTTACCTTACGAAGTTTAAAATCTGACAAGGAATAAATAATGAGAAAATCTAGAGTATAATCAGATACTATTAGTTTTATCGTGGTCCCAACACTGTTTGGATTCTCAACTGAGGAACATGATCTAACAAAAAAACTAATTCACTTTTTAATATCAAAGTCCTATGGTTTTTGAATATATGCATCAGGGTCTCTCCCTTTTTTTTAAAGTATGCTTGGAGCAGTGGAACATTTTTCATGCTACATTATGTAAAAAAACACTTGGTAATTTGAACCAGTGGGTCTTGTTGCATCTGCATGTTAGAATCTCAGTACTCTTTTTTTTTTTTTTATTTCATCAAAATTTCCTGTGTATATAAAATCCAAAATTCTGCATTAATGTGACATCTGTTTTTTTCTTTTGTAAATATGAACTATGAAAACACTTCAGCACATCACTTTTTGAAGTACCTCTTCTACCTAATTAACTTTACAAGTAGCATTTAAATTACATGTACTGTCTAATAAGTAGACAAGTAACAAAACAGGCAAGCAGTGATAATGCAGTATCTAAATATATTCCAGCAAGTAAATTTGCATAATTGAATTGGGAGCAGGAACAGATTTAAAAACAAAAGCTTTTGAAAATCAAGATGGAATATATATAGCACTGATAAATTGTTTAAAATGTAAGTAATCTAAATAATTAGTCGGACATGTAACTTATATGTAGTTATGGAAAAGAAACCAATTTGCATGAAAGTATATAAATATGATAACATTGTATATAAGTATAAGCTAAATGTTAAAAAAAAAATTTGTTTGTTTTGTTTTTCCATCTTTCAAAATTAGACACGCTCAGTTTTGGTAAGTATGTGAGGGTAGAATTACGTTTTCTTTATTTGTTTTTGTATAGCAGAAACTATTATTAATCACTAGTTGATTGTGTTTGTTGTTTCACCTCTTCAATACAAGTTAATTAAGCACAGCAATTTCAACTATAATTTGTTGTTTAATAAAAGCAAAATCCAGAAAGTTTGATTTGCGTGGGCATTTTATGGCACAGTGAAGAGGCAAGTAAATTTTTAAGTAGGACCAGTAGATTTTTCTAGCATTTTGTCCATCAGAAAATACGTTTTTTTTTTTCCCCAAAACTTGCATACGCTCAACTCCAGCATTTTCTGGACCAATGAATTTATAGTTTGTATATGTGAGGTATGACTGCCCTTTTGTGGAACCTGTATACCTAGGTGAGATTTAAGTAGAATTGACTGTTCGTGGGCATTAGAAGAAAAGGTAAGTAGGAAATAATAATAATAACAATCAATACCATATTAAATACCAGTAATGAGTAAATAATTAATTCATTGGTCCCAAAAATGCTGGAATAAGACTCATATAATTAAACAATTAATTATTGTACAGGCCATGCTAGTATTTCACTTGTGTATCAAGATTTCTAGTCACATAGGAGTTATTATCTTATATTTTACTTGTTTCTTTTCTCATGGCCTTTATACTGAGCCTTTTCTCCATTAGGGTTTTTGTATTAGTTGATAATTGTAGAAAGTACAGTAGCATCAGTCAGATTTATTGTACGTGATTGATGAACTAGAAAATACAGTAGCTTCAGAATTATTGATACATGTGATTAGTAATAACAGAAAGTCTAGTGGTATCAAACAAATTTACAACACTTGTTTAGTAATGCTAGAAAGTACACTAATGTCAGTTATATGATTAACATTAAATTATAAACACTTAAAAGCACGGGAATGTTGTATCTGACAGATTTTTACATTACTGAAATTGAGATAAGCTTTAGCTCAATTTTCACAAACTGGAAATTTATAAAAAATTTAAATAGATTAAAACGAGCTTTCACTTGTTTCGATATTGTACTTACCTGTTGTTTTGATATTCTTTGTCATTCAGGTACTATGACTATTGGAGACCTGGTGATGGTAAATGGCTTGCTATTTCAACTGTCAATGCCACTTAACTTCCTGGGATCTGTCTACAGAGAAGTTCGACAGTCTCTCATAGATATGCAAACAATGTTTGAGCTGATGGCTCTCAAGCCAAATATTGAGGTTAGAAAAGCTGTTTACAGCTACTGCATCTCTGTGTTGATAAACTCGTAAGCTTTAGTTGATGCTTTCAGAACAATTGCTTGTTTATAATTATTCTGAAAAATTCAATATGCTATTTAGAAACATGTTTAAAAACTAATATGTATGAAACTTGTCTTTCAAGTCAATGATGTACTGTCATTTTCTTATACATTGTAAATTTTCCAAAAATAAATCATACATTTCAAATATGGTGACACAAGTTAATTTCTAGGAAAGCAAATGAAGAAATAACAATATACTGTCTATATGATGAAAAGTTAAAGAATTTGTTTTTCTGCCCATCAGTTTTTTAAGTAACTGAGTATCCATATACTTAAATTTGCAAATCTTCACTGTTTCAAACAAAACTATATATTACAGACTACACAGATTTTGTGACTCAACATTTATGGGTGTTTATCTTTTCTTATATTATCTCAATTCACAAAATAAGTACTCCTCCCATAGATAGAAGTTTGTATTAAATTGTTAGGCCAGTTTTTATATTTGTACAGCCATATTGCTTGTTTTTTATCTATTTCATTCCAACAAGCACATTTTTGAATAACAAAAAATATGGTCACTGGTCCAATAATGTCATGCACTAGCCCACTTTGTGGAAGAATTTTTAAAAACTGTATCTTATATATCTTTGCATCTTTGAAAACAGGAAACTTTGCTAAATAAACACTTTAGCAATGACTTTGATCAGGCTCTATAGCAGGAAATGTATAACATTTACTAGCATTGCATTAGTTTGATACAAATGGAACAAACATTTTAAGGTAGTGGTGAGGATGATTTATTTCCCCAAAAGGGGGGGGGGTCAAAGGCAACCTGTAGGGGTCACCTGTTTTAACCACTCACATCACTATAAAGTAGTGTGTTGTCTGTCTGTCAGTCAGTAGACACTAAAATAAGGTCACATAAGGGATGATTTACACTGCAACTTGTACTGTTGTGATGTCAGTAAAACCTGCTCATGCCATGAATCGCGAGAAGAATTATGCCATCTGTAGGCTACAACACAACATGATATATAAAATTCAAAGGCAAGAAATAAAAGTACTTGTTACTTTTAATTTTGTGTTTATTTACTCTTGAAACAGAACACTTTCTGGGACCCTTAGGAAGTACATCTAATATATATACAGGTATACATGTTGGCTTTATCAAATGAGAGATTACTTGATGGTCAGGTACAAAATATTGAATTCTGTCATGTTTTTTGACCTTACACCTGCTTTTACTTTAACTAAAGGAATAAAGGGAAAAAACATATTTTCTATTCTTCAGACAAAACTTGAAGCTCCAATCCTTCAGGTGACTCCAACACAGGCCACAGTTACTTTTGAAGATGTATGTTTTAAATATGTAAAAGGTCAAACCATCTTGAATAATCTTAGCTTCACAGTTCCTACAGGAAAAAAGGTAGCTCTGGTTGGAGGAAGTGGATCTGGGTAAGGCTAGATTTCGTTTTATGGTTATTATAGTTTGAAAATATTTTAAGGTACAAAATATTCAGATAAATCTAACCTCTATTTTGTTTCTGAATTTTTTAATTTTCATATTATAACTTGGTTTTTACAAGTCACAGCAGTTCTAGAAAGTTTATAGGTCTATTCTATAATTGTTATATTACCATCAAATTGTAAAGGACACTGGTTTAATTTTGTGGCTTTTATGGTGTCACAGAAATTTAATATCCCCTCCCCTATTTTGTTGATTGGTAGTTTCAGAGAGTTTTAAAAAACACTATTCTAATCCCAATTTTGCAATTATAGTGTCGGAGAATACTAAGACGTATTGTGTTGTTTTGAAATGTTTTTTAGTTCCGTTAATTTTACATAGATATAAGAATTTTAAGAATGTGTAGCATTGATGCTATTAATTTATTCTTGTGAATTATTCAGTCAATATCAACTGTTTAAAATACTTAAAAACAGATTTGAAGTCCAGGGTTACCAGTGAGGGGTGGAATTCCTTGAGATTGGTATAACTCAGTGACAAGTGGGAAATCAAAAGTTGAAAAATGCAGCTAGTTACTTCAAGTGCAAGAATCTGTATAAACAGCTTAAGCATTTCTTACTTTTTCTCATTGCACTAGTGCTTTAGTACCAGTATGTGTTTTTTCAGCCAATGACTCAATTATATCAAAGAAGTATTCCAAAGGAAACAAAGACATTGTAAGAGAACTACACCTTACAAAAGATATCAAAATATACTTGTAGCTAAAAGGATTTTGAGAGTGCACATAGAGCACAGGCACTTTACTGTGCATGTCCAGAAGAAAAGGAAAAGGCTGTAAAGTAAGAAATGGAACTGAAACATAAACCTGCAGCTGAAAAAGTGGAAGACGCATGCAATTTGAGAGAAAAGGAAAGATACCTGTGTAGAAAATATTACTAAGTTGACTGTCCGAAATATACTCATGTTCGTAACTAATAACTCATCACAGGTGCATCAGTAAAACTGGACAAAGCTCTGAAAAAGAAGGACATTAGAGAAAGAAATAGTAGCCTAAGTTTAACGATATCAGCAGGAACAGGAAACAAAAAGTGTATTTAGCAAAGACCTTGCAATGATGCAAGAAGTTCTGAGGAAGGTTCAAGTACATGCTTTATGTGTAAGCAGTAAAACTTGCATAAATGGCAAAATGTTTTCAAGAAATCAAACTAATTAAGAATCACCTGAAGAAATTTTATTAATTATGTTTTTGTTAAGTCAAAAAAATTAAGTAGTGTAAATATAAACTTTATTTAAACTGTTGCATGCCATAAGTCAAAGAAGAAGAAAAAAATCCAGATTTACTAAGCTTTTGTACTTTTTAGAGAGTTTGCACCATTTTTTAAAAAAGAACAATGTACATTTCTTAGAAAGTTTTACAGGTGTGATACAATCTAGTTACCTGTTTAGAGGCTAAATAAGTTATAAGTAATAAAACAGATTTATCAAGGTTTTAGAGCTATAGTAATTTGCACCTTTTTTTTTTCTTTACGCAAAATAAAACTTAATGCCTTGAAACTAGAAACAAGCAACTTGGGTACACATATGAGTTCTTTAAATTAACATTCTCAGTTATGTTATTTTTACTACAATATAAATTGTATTATTATCTTTTTTGTAAGATGATGCAAATAGTACTTTGTAGTTAAGACATTGATTAATATGATATGTTGTGTTTTTAAGTTTTTCTATAAATTTTGAAACATTGTCCAGAAATTTGAAAATGTGGTTATAGCAGGTCTGAGAACTCATAGTCTTGGCTGCATAACAGTTTTAAATAACAGTGGAAAATGTTCAAAATTTTGGCTATGGTTTTGTCAAATTCTTTTAAGTTTGGTTGTTAGAGGTTCCAGTTTATGATTGTGTCACTTAGTGTTAAGTATCTGTTATAAAAGCTATCTTGTAGCTGTGGTTGTATCATACAATCTTAACTATTACTAAATCTGAGTATGCTTAGCTTCTTCTGTATTTGTTTTAAACAGCTTTTGTGAACAGCTTGGTTTGTTCTGTCGTGATCTAATCTCAGTTTGTTTTCAGTGCAGTTTACAACTTTTGTGTTTTGCCAGTTTAAATGAACACACACACAAAATGTTTAAGTCCTTTGCAAAAATGAAGCTTAGGTTAGAATATTTACTTGAATGTATCTTAGGTAAGATTCTTTGCTCAGAAAATGTTTTAACTATGAATGTAATTAAAATACATACTTATGTTAATTAAAACTTCTGTTAGCCCTTTTGCAATGGGCGGATGTGTTTCACGACTGCTCAGCTGAGGATGGACATTTATGCAACACAACATATGATACTCTGAGATATCTTCACAAAACCTGGTAATATTTTGTTAAAGATTATAAGTATCTTGTACAGAAGAAATGACATTATTTTAATTACACATTATAATAAAAATATGTTACTTATCTATTGTAGTTATTTGTACTGAAACTCTGAATAGTTCAATGCAAGGTGATTTTTATTTTAATTATAAAAATAATTGTCTTCATCTTATAGTTTTCATATTTCATTTGCATAACCTCCAGAACCTCTTAACTGAATATCTAAAGCTTTTTTAAAGGTTAATTTTTATTTTATTTTTCATTTTCTCTACCATATCACTAACCGTAGCTATTAGAAAAAAAGTACATACCTTTTAATTGTTTGTAGAATATCTCTAAAGATCTTTTGGTTATATTTGTAATTTCAGATCTTTCCCCCTTTTCATATATAGTTAGTTTTTAATGTTGTATTTTCCTTTCTTTTCCTTTACCATTTATTATTCATCTGGACACAAGTCAACGGTGCCCATGGGGCACATTACAGTATTTGGCAGAGATGCGCAACATTTCAGAAAAAGTTTTGGGCACCATGTAATATTGTAAGGCTTGAAAACTGATGCAAAGTGTGAAGTATATCTAAAATATGTTTAACCCTTTCAATTATGCATTTTAAAACATTTATAATGCATTATTAACTAAGATATTAAAGTAAGACCTAAGCACAATTTAACTATATCTCTAACTTTCACTTATTTCGGTAAGAAACAACCATAAGTGCTATAGTCGATCAAGCAGCCAACAATACTACAAGCAGTTATGTGTACCCTGTGATGAAAACTACATGCCAATTTCAAAATAACCATTGTTGGATTATAGTGTAAAATTAGTTCTTTTTAATGACTATATACATGTGTATGTAACCTCTACATGTAGGCTATAAAGTTCAAATCTATTGAAGGTGGATGTGACACCAATTGGGGGTTGACAAAATGCATTCATCCAGAAAACTTCTAATCATAATATACATTATAATGTTAATTTCATTCACATACATTGATAGTAAGAGTATTTAATTAAGTGTTGAATGTAACACAATGACTTGCTCAGAAAAGTGTTTAAAAGGGGGTACCTGTGTCGAAAGGGTTAAAATATTGGACTGTGCCTAAAAGAAGTGAATATTTTATTTTTGTATGAAGTTCAGTATTTATATTGGAAGTTCAACAGATAACTTAATCATGGTCTTTATAACTAATAACTGAGAAATCATTTAATTGTATATTGAAATTTACAAAATAATATTTAAAATTAATTACATTATAACAATAAAAAAACAATATTTTAATTAATTTTTCAGGTTTAAATATACCATCAGCCATTCACTTGTCAGAATATTGGCAAATTGATTACCAAACCCATCATACTTTCCAATGTAATCTGTTTTTATGAATTCTGCTTAAATTAAAAGCTGCATTAGGCTATCACACCTTTATTGAAATGCACACAACACTAGCAAAACTTACAACTGCTTTTGGAAATGTTTTGATTTTTATACAAAATTTTAGTTAACATAGTTAACAGTCCTTTCATTTTAAATCTTCTAGGAAGTCAACTATTATTCGATTGCTGTATCGTTTCTTTAATCCTGATAAAGGCAGGATTATGATTGCGGGTAAAGATATTAAGGATGTTGATCTTGTCAGTCTGAGAAAAGCTATAGCTATTGTTCCACAGGTAAACGGTATATCAAAGTTTTATAAAATATCCTCTGATTGTGTTTATAGCTTTTGTTTTGCTTGTGTTGAGTTAGTAGAAATAATTTGATAGATCAGTGGTGATTCCAGGACCTTATCATAGTTGGAGCTAATTACGTAACAACATTGTAATTTTACTAAATTTAGCAATGCATTGTTCTCCTTATTAATCACAGAATATTTTGTATTATAATACACTTCAAATGTTCAGGCATTTCTATATTGTGTAAAGACTAATATATTAAGTTTTCTAAAGAAATGTAAAGATAAAAAACAAACAGCATAATGATAATAAATAATTACTCAGTCTTAGTAAAAGGTGCTTGAAAAATTGAACAGTATAAATAATCCTATTTGAATAACTGGATAGAGAAATTTTACACCCTATTTGTAGAAAATATGAAAAAGTGAAATTTTAATAGAATTAAGTAAATTAAAAAGTTTGCAACCATGCATGATGTAAAAGAGGAAAGTTAGGAATCTTGTGTCACAGTAATTCTTGGCTTGTTATATTTTAATATTTTTCTCAGAAAATGTAAACTTTATTTAGTTGTTATGCAGACCATAGACTAAAAAAAAAGTCCAGATTTATTAAAGATTCTGTACTTTTGCACCATGGGGGTAGGGGTATATTTATCTATCAGGGCATGATCATGATTAGAAGCAAAGATAAGTCTAACATTTAGTATATTTCACCGTAGCACAGGCTCCACAATTTTGGTTATTCATGATAACAATATTGAAAGCATCTATCATACAGTGTAAAAATGTTCGAGAACTAGGTGATTCCATGATAAGAACCTATACATGATTAGTCAGTTGTCCTGACCAATGAGCAATGGAAAAAAAGCCAGGGCTTTCTTGCCTAGTGAGCATATTCTCCACATAACTGCAGTGTTTCTTCATAGAGATTGTATGCAACAAGTAGTGTTATATGTAATTTTAATATATTGTTGTGCAGTAATCTTAGTGATATTAAACTTATTTTGATGTATTTCTATTATTAAAATTGAAAATATAAAGTTTTTTTATTAAACACAGCATTTTTTTTATACTTTATTACAATATTAAGTAATGCCATCGCAGGCTGCAAACAAGTTAACTCTTAAAGACTTTGCCACACAAAGATGTTTGATATTTAGAAAAGCATATATGTGTCTTGAGACAGGATGAGTCTCATGCATCACTTGATAACAGTTCAGTGAACCTAATTTCAATGTGTAGGTACTTAAAGGCAGACAATGCAGTAAGTACTGAAGAACTTAATCAGGTTAATTAAGTTTTCTCATTTTAGCATCCAATTTTATCATCCCACCGATTCTCGCTTAGCTTACTTAAAGTGCAAATGTTACTTCCGTAATAAAATAATACAACTACGCATGTTAAAAATGGTGTACGACAAATAAATAAAATTATTAATAAATTACTTTACTCTTTTTGGGTAGGTACAACTTGCTATAATGTTTAGTGTATTGCTATAGTTTTAACTTAGAGTAAACACAAGTAAATATAACACATTTGAGATGGAATAAATATTTAATCATTCCAATGTAATTTTTAAAGTATCTACTGTCTTTACACACTTGGATGCCATCACAAAATGTGGTTAATGCATTCTTCATAATATTTCATGTTCATAAGGATCAGTCACTGCTTAATAAAACTCATCCGTGACATCTTCCAAACATGAGACAACCATATTTAAACAAATTTCACATTTGCCTTGGTCTTACTAAAATCAGCCTTAAATAGTGTCTCAAATTAGGCAAGATAGTGTGGTTGTATCATTAAGTATTCTAGTTATTTGCTAGCAGTTTTATTTCATAATATTTGAATATTTGATGCTATTTACAGCAAAAATTGAGAATTATTATTTTTTTTTAAGGTGTACTTTAGGCTTTTCACAAAATGCCATGGCTTGTCTGTATGCAGTCAATAATTTTGAGAGCTAGTGAAACTATTTTCAATGGCTGATTCACATGCTTGTTTTTTAGTAATTTTTCATCCAGATAACATATGGCTCATTATTGTAGTAGATTTTTCATTAGAAATCTTACATTCTGACAATCCATTACTTATTACTAGTTAATTTTTCAAAAATTTACTTTTCAGGACACAGTACTCTTTCATAATACTATACTACATAATCTCCACTATGGGGATTTAACCAAGAGCCTAGATGAGGTATACCAGGCAGCAAGACTTGCAGAACTTCATGACACCATCATGAGGTGGCCTGACAAATACGAAACACAAGTTGGAGAACGAGGATTGATGCTGTCTGGTAGGTACAGATAGATCAAGATACACGGTAGTGAGTCATGTGGCCAAAACAACTTGCTTCAGGATACACTGTGTGTTATTAACAGGAGTGATAGTTAAGCATTTTCCACCTTCTGTATCTCAGACTGTGGTAATCCAAACTATCATATATTTTCAGTGGATGTGCTCTACTGCACCCTTACTAACATACCAAATTTCAAGGCAATACGTTAAGAAATACCTGAGATATAACATCTCCAATTTTGATTGATTTTCTTCCTCTCTTTTTTGTTTTTCTTTTCACCAAAAGTAAGGAAATTTGATAGAAAAATATTCTCAACTTTTATGGATTTTTTCAAATTAGGTACACTAATGGATCTTTTCAATCCACAATTAGTCACACGCAAAAAGTTATTCAACAAAAACTGCTCAAATTTGATACATTTTTGTGCATGCCTATGCAAAATGTTAAATGAGCTATTGGTGTAGCATTTTTAATACAACTTCACCTAAGAGTAAAAGTGGATCATTTTTAGTTTTTTGTCATTTGGATTAAAAACAGCTGATTTAGAGCAGCAAAACTATATGGTGAAATTATGATAAAAATAAGCAAAAGTGCGTGTGATACTTATGCTTAAACAAATACATTGTGCTGGATTACTTAAATTAGTTTGGCATTCTTTGAAAACCCATAAATAATTTCTTGAGGTCACTTCTCAAAAGTTCTACACTGGCCAAGGTCACATTTCTAAAGACAGCACATTTAACAATTTACTGTTGTTATAACAGTTGAAAATTACTCACAATAAAGTCCCGTGGTCACCGAAAATAAGTGATTGTTTTTCAGAAACCAAATACTTACTTAAACAGCATGTTTACAATAGAAAGTAGTTTTGGAAATTAATAGAAATACTTTGCTGCCGTGAACCATTTGATTTAATGTCAGGAATGGCATGTGTATCTTATCTGAATTTTTCTTTTACTCATTTGTTACATAATGATATGGGAAAGTGTAAATACTGTGAGTATATATCAGTGAATACTTGTAGTACATTTTCAATAATTTCTTGTTTGGAGTTCCATTCGTGGTGAAATTACTTAGTTTTCAGTACAGTTTTATTTAGTCATTGATTTATGTTATGGTTATATTGAAACTGCTACTAGGAAATGGGAGATTAAATATAATTATTGTTATTTGTGAGTCTAAAACACAGTTTTTGCAAAGATGTATACATTTGTTATATTCTAATATGTGAGAGCTCCTTTACAGTTAAGAATGGTTTATTGCTCTAACCAGCCATGTGTGTAGATTTTCTGCTGTTGCTTATGTTCACAAAACTCAAACTTATATTGACCTACTTTATACTTTCCAGATCATCTACTTAAAGTATATGGTAAAATTACAACAATGTTAGCAGTGAATGACCCAATCAGTTTTCTCTTACAATGTTGTTGTTAGTTTAATGATATTTGTATAATAAGTATTTTCTTCATAAAAAGTTTAATACAATGTTACAATCTCTAGTTAGTAACAGTAGTAATGTGATGCTAAAAGCATGACTGTAGCACTCTAGCTTTATTACTCAATGTTATCAGCACTGACTTTAAATAAGCCTTCAAGTCAAAGGCATGGAAAACTAGTAACTGGACATATTCTAGAACTGGCTAATAAATCAATTTTGAGAAATAATTTTTTTTGTCTTTAACTTCATTTGAAATTAATAATATTCAAAAAGCATTGTATCTTTTAGAAAAACTTCATTATTATCATTGTATTTTCATATTAAAGATTTGTTTTGTGGAAAACAATATTTAAAATAAGATTATTTTTGTTCAACAAGTTTGATGAAATAGTAGTTTACTTAGAAATTAAAAATAATAATATTGCTTAGTTTTAGTATGCAGTATCTACTTCTAAACAACAGTCACAAGCCCATTGTACCTCAAGAGTTTCAACATTAACTTTGACTCTGGGGTAAAGAATTTTAACTTGTGTTATTTGTTGCAGGTGGGGAAAAACAGAGAGTTGCCATAGCCAGAGCTGCATTGAAGGACAGTCCTATTTTAGTATTCGATGAAGCAACTTCTAATTTAGATGCCATTACAGAATATGTAAGTTTATTAAATAACATACAAAAAGCATTTCAAGCTATGCAGTATAAGTTACTCTAGTTACAAATTTTTGTCAGAATAAGTTAAATTTTTTAAAAAGTATGAAATATTATCAGTACTATGTTTCATTGTAAAAAGTGTCATTGATAGTACAATATAAGAAATTAACTTAATTTTTTGTGTAAAGTATAGCTTACAGTGTATCAAGAATATAAGTTGAATGGAGTTGCACTGTTGTGTTGTTTATTGTGTATTGTAACAGTTGAAATGGGAGCATTTTTTCTTTCTAAGAACTGTAGTCTTGAGTCTACTTAATAGCTTCAATAGAGCAGAGTTTCAGTGTAATTCATGTGGTTTATAATAAGCCCTGTTCAACACTATCAGTCTATTTTAAAGTTTAAACTGTTCATATATTTTTCCAAAAGTTTACAATCAGCTTTTTTGAAAACAAAAAATTGAAAGTGGATATTATTGTCCAGAATATTCAGTCATGACACATGCCATAATTATTGTAATACTTCATTATTATTTTTTGAGAGCAAGAAATCAGAAATGGTATTATCATAATCATAATGTGCATTTAATGATAGGAAGTTTAATAATCAATATAGCATGGTAGTTTTAAGTTCTGGTGAGAAGCTAAAAAACACCTGCATTATACTAATTTTATTGGCAAACTAGAAGATGCAATGACCATGTTCTTGATCAAAGATACACTGCTATAGATAGAGAAAAGTGGTAGCAACTGGAAAAAATACATTGTGAATTAACCTAGATTAATAGAGACTGGTTTAAAAATTTCCAAATGTCAAAGTAGGTGTTCTGCAAGGCTAATGTTAAAAAACAAAAATCTGTTTTCACATCTTTAATGAAGGCATAGCACAGATATTAATATAGTCCCATTGAAATGCTACAAATATGTTCCTAATTAAATCATTCTCATGGGTCTTTCTTTATACAGCGATATTCTTCATGCTGAAAATCTATGTCATTATTTTTCAAGAGAAAACTTCTCAATTACCTTTTTCAAACAAAGAAGTAAATGAAACTTACAAAAGAGATTTTGGCATGATTTTTCAAGCCACAATTTTTCAGTGCAGACACAGTGAGACACATATGTGGAAAGTCTTACTTATGAGTTAGTGCAAAGCAGCTTCCAGCAAGGGAAATTTTAATTGGCACAAAAGTACCCAACATTGTGCAGAGTGTAAGGGATAAAGATTATGTTGTGACAAAATTTCTGTAAAAGCCTTTGGAAACATACATAGTGTATTCTGACATTCTTCAGAAAAAGAAACCAATCAACTGTTGTTTATTGAAATGTTTATCTGTGCTAACTCATAAATTCTTTATTTCAAGAAAACTGTATCATTATGATGAATATATTGAGGTTACTGTGTATTGCCAGTAATATTCTGAATTCTAATGAATGTGAACAGCTTGATTTACAAGGTAGAAAATGTATCATTTGTTTCAAAACACTATGAAAACTGATAATTATTGGGTGTGTGAATTAGTAATTCAAATAAATTTTGAGTTCTTGCCAAGCTTATGCTAGCTCTGTGAAGCTGTTGTAGTGGACTGGAGGTTCAAGTCAACATTCAGTTTTATCAAGGAACAGAAGTAGTTGGTATCTTTCTGTCTTATAAGACAACAGATATCTGCATCTGTAAAAAGAGTTTCACTTGTGTTGACACTTCTGGGCATGACAGAATAATCCAATTTGAGAAGAGCATGTTTTCTCTCATTTGTCACATGAATAATTTGTTTGTTCTGAAGTTGATTGTGCAGCTTTTACATTTTTTGACATATTCTCCTCTGCTTTTTCCTTCATTCTCTCCTCTTCCTATCAGAAGCCCAACTTAACTGCTTGCTTCCAGTCACTCCTGTTCTCAGCAGTTTTTTCCTATGTGTCTGAATTGTTGTCCATAGACTTCATGTCTCTCTTGCAGACATCTTTGAAATGAATGTTGTGGTGGCCTTTTGGTTAGAACAGAAATATCTCTTCTTAACGTCCACTTATTTTGTAAAATTATTTTTTAAAAAATTAAAAAAAAAAGATTGCCACAGAATAATTCAGAAATGATGTTGTCTAATTAAGGCTGAATTGCATTGCATTAGCAAGATAATATGTATTATAAATAAAAAAAAGAGCTGAGTGATGCAAAAAAAAGAGGCACTAGAAGTAATAACCAAGGAACTACAATGTAAAAGAAAGACAAAATAAATGTATGAGAAGCTGACTAAATGAGTTAGGCCCACATATTACAAAGCTCAACAAAAAAGTGGCTCTAAGACAATAAATGTAACTAGTAAATATGTGGAATTGTTTATACTGTTGTGGATAATTTGAAGTATTTGGATGACATTATGTGGGGGGGGGGGTGAATTTCAGCATTTGAATTATTGGGATTGTGACCTTTTGTATCATTTAGCCAGGAGTATGCATATAATATTAATATAAAATTGTAAACAGAAATTCTAAATGATAGTTTTTGTTGATTGAATTACATTTCCTAAACATGAAAAGCTTTAACTTGAGAATTCCTGAAAGGCTTATTAAACCCAAAGTTACTGGAGCTTTACCCCTATATTCTCCTCCAGGCCTCTCTTAGAATATACTATAGTGGTAAGTGTAGATTAGATTTTAATTGAAAGAAATTGGAGAATACTCAAGTTAAGTTTTGTAACTTATTTTCAGAAATGCTTGTTTTTTACAGATGCCTAATTAAAATATTTTCCCACTAAATCTGCATCTTGATGTTAAACAAATTTGGTATTTTTAAAGTCATGGCAACATCTTAACCATGAAGATTTTTGCTGACACATATGAAACCTAGGAAAAGCCAGATTCAAAGGTATTCACGTTGGATCTTGCCTTCAACAGCAGTCTTGGTGAAAGTGTTCAAAAGTATAGAAGAATAAATGTTCCATAGACACTTTCTGCACCAACTTTAACCTGTTTGGCCTATTTGAAATATTTCTTCTTAACACAAATGTTACTACAAGCTGATTGATTTTGTAATGTTAAACCAAAAGCTCCATGTAGCAGACTTTAGAAAACCATGAGTTATTCAATTTAATTATATTATTTGATTAAATTCATGCTCATATTTTTAGCATTTAAAAAAAAATGGTGTGTGTGGGTGTATAAAAATATAGTTTTCACCAAGGCCTAGATTAACAGAAATTTTATTTTGCTGAAACTCAATCCAGGTTTCTAAAATGAAGTTGATTCATTATTGTTTTACATATTTGTGTGTGTGTGTATGGAGATTGTTACTTATAATTGAACAACAATAGCTCTATATTAAGTACATAATTACAATTGTTAACTTTCATTTGTAGTTTTCTATGCTAGTGGTAGGTGATACTTGTTCTTTTCTGTCAAACATAACCAGAGATTTGGATAGGAATATTTTGATTTTTTACAGAACTCCTTGAGGTCATAGGTGAATTTGATATGGTTTGCCATTTTGTAATAAATAGGTTGACTCAAAATTTGTGCACCAAAATACAACCTGTATATTTTTCTATCTGCAGCAAGGGCTATTTTAAAGAAAAGATGTATAATCACCTATTTTCTGTTATGAAAATATAAAGTCTACTTAAGAAACCAGAAGTATATACATCATATTTTTTATTGCATAGCCTGTATTGTTATTGTTAGTTAAGTACATGTAGTTATTGACATTTATGAGCCATCATAGGCTCTAATGATACCTTTTGTATTTGCAGTGAGTATTAAAATGTGAAATGAACGCTTTTTTTTTTAAAAGAAAATAGCACACCAGTCTTACATCATAAGATATTTGATTATAGTTCATAAAAATCAATGTCATATTTTCATCTGAAGAATATTCTGCTAGCAACATCCTGACTAGTGTAGCATGATTTCTGGGTACATTTTTCAGCCATTCACACTTCTACAGGATGTATGGACACATCATCACACAAAACATATTTTAGGTTTTATAAATGAAAAATGTATATGGATTTATTATTTTAACCATATTCTGTAATAAATCAAAAATGTATGAGAGAACTTTTCATGACTTCATTTGTTTGTGGTTTGTACTTGAGCACTGTTATCAAAATATTGTTTTACAATATAATATAGATCTAAAGTGGACCCTGGAAATCTTACAGTATAAATTTGAATTATAATGTTATATAAGGGTAGAAATAAAGCAACCTTTCATTATAAGAAGTGTGGTTTAGTTTATATGGTAAGGATGCAAGTGAAGAATATTTTAGTGTAAGAAACATAATTTAGTGTGTTATAAAGGAGAAGGAAAGCAGTCTTTCAGTGTAGTAATAACTACTTTGTCACTCTGTTAGGTATGTATGCCTGATGCTTAACAATTAACCTGTATTCGGGTACAGTAGTCACAATCAGATCTGAAATAAATGCTTATTTATTTAAAAGAAATTACAAGATTAATAACAAAGCTTTTAAGCAGTTTGACATTTTGTATATACATGTACTGATAGAATGCATTTTTTTATTTGTTGTGTATGACATCTTGATTTAAAATTGGAAATTAATTCATCTTATAAACAGCCATAACTATGTTTTACAGAAAATCATGAATGCCCTGAGGAGAGCATCAAAAGGAAGAACCTCCATTTTTATTGCACATCGCTTGTCAACGGTGGTTGATGCTGATGATATTATCATTCTTGAAGGAGGGCAGGTAGTTGAGCGTGGGACTCATCACTCACTTCTTTCAAACCCTGACAGTTTATATACACATCTTTGGTTTAAACAACATGAGTCACCTGTTTTTCAGCCTGACATTTTAGACTCTGATAATAATAATCAGAAAATAAATAAGCCATCCTAACTACTAAAAATGAAGCTTCACATCATCACTTATTCTCATGAAATAGATGTGAATAAAAAGTATCCTCTCAAGTGAAAAAATTAAGTTAATTTTTAAAAGCCCTAAGACTGTACCTGTTATGTTGTACAACAACATTTGTTATACAGACTTTTCAATTTAGTGTTAAGTTTGGGAAATACAATTTTATAGATTTCTTCCAAATTGTACATTCTAGAAATATTTAATTGCAGGAGTAATGGTTGTGTAAAAAAATATTATTTAAAGTTTTTGTTAGTGTGAATAACATAGTCTTTGTGGATATATCTTTACAAATAATGCATTTATAAAAAATGCTACTAAAATACACTTTTAACATAATCCTCAATAAAAGCTCTAAAAAAAATCAAAATGAAAAAGTTAGTGCAAGATTAACCCAGCATCGTAGGTAGAAAATTCCATGAATACTGAGCAGTTTTTAAATATCAAACTATCGTTACATGTGCACACCTAACAGAAGTAATATATTTTGTAATATGTATAGTTAAATGAACCTTGCATTTTGTATAAATGCTGTTTTATATCTTAAAGTTTTCTTTTAAATTAAAGGTGGTCATTTTTTCCACTCAGTATATCGTAGGTAATCCATAGATATGTATGAGAAATCTAAAATCAAGAGAAACGTGTATTGTTTTTTTCTTCTATGGTCATGTATTGAATGTAGAGTGAATATAACACAAATATTTACTTCATTAAATGACATTTTATGACAGCCATCATACTTTATCCTCTATGTAACTAGAGTACCTGCATAACGTCCAACTGACGTCAGTTTCTAAATTAAATAAATAATATATAGTAGAATGGAGAAAAATAGTGTTGTGAGCTGGAACAAAACATCAAATTGTTCCTTCTGGAAAGTTGACAACATTGTATGAGCACATTTAGTAACAAAATGTCTTTATCACTGAAAGCTGTGAGGCCAGTTATTTCAATATTTATCTTTGTACTGTTATATATATATATATAATGTTCAAGTTAATCTTTGTTTAAGCAAGAAATAACATCATAACTGGTAGAAGACAATGTAAGGCAAGTAAAATGTTTAAAGAGAAAGAAGATATTAAGCTTGTATATCAGACTAATTTCTTTATGTTCTAGAAAATAAGTTGTAAACTTATAAGGGAGTACTATAGGAGGTTTGTAGAATATATGTGGTTAATAAAATATTGTAGAAGACAAAAGATTTATGGAACAGATGAAATTATAAGAAAGAAAATGTTGTCCATGAAGTCTCTTAGGACTTGTTGTTAGATAAGTTCTTAATCTAAAAGTCAGTTCTAATGGGCAGAAACCATTCAACGAAGATCTAAATGGATATGTCTAAAAATGTGATGTCTTGTGTATGAGTAAAAATCATTCTCTTTGGATGTATTGTAAAGCAAGAATGTTATATTCAAACCAAGCTAAACTAGAACATATTTATGTAGTTTTTGTCAATAGTTTTAAAATAAAAAATATTTAAAATAAATTCATTTTGTTTTAATTGCAATGATAATTATGTGAATTTTCCAATTCCCTCCCATATTTGAATCAAAGCTAGAAGTATATGTAGTAATTGTTTTTTGCCTGAGTAATATGCAGGGGGGTTTGACCAAGCACCCTATTTTTGTGATGTAAAAAAAAAAACTGCCACTAAGTTCATGTGAACATTTGGCATTTGCTCTTCAATGGTTGGATAATTACCTGAGGTGTATGCAAATCAAAAAAAGACTGGGTGCTCTAGCTTTAATAAGTAATCATTATGACACTGCTATCAACATTGAAACTTTATGTAAGTTATTTGTGGAAAAGCACCCCAGAAGAATGGAGCATGCTAACATGCTATTTCAGTGGTGTGTACATGTACGTGTACGATAGCTAATATACTATTGTTTTACAGAGTTGTTTAAATTAGTAATATAATTTAACAATTAATAACTATTTGCATATAGATTGGACAGTACTTTACTATAAGAAAACATACATATTTATGCTAATTTAAGTCTAGCACCCCATGCAGTATTACAACAGAATGATGATTTGTTGACTTGTCATTGAATACTTGTGGATTTTATGTGAACAGCCATGCAATTGTTTAAGCTATCTTTCATGTAAAATTGCCTCCAGATTTAATCTCATAGCACTTATTATTTTACAAATTTGTTGGGTTTTTTTTTGGGGGGGGGGACAGATCCACATAGCATTAGCATGCTGATTGTGCTTCGCATAATATGTGTTGGCTTTTGATCTCTCAAATTAGACCCCCAATTTCAAACATTCTGTGTATGAGCCCGCAATTATGTGCAAGGCAAAAAAATTATATACTAGAGTGTTAGTGAAAGAAAGAAAAAGAACTATTATGTTAAAAGTGCTGTACAGTCAAGTAATGTCATATAAGAACTGTGGAATTGTTTCCTTTAGCTAAAGTGTAAAAAGAGATAATGTATTCCTTTGTGATTTAAAACTGCATCAGGAACTCAATTATGAATGTTTTGAAAATTTGAATTTCCTGATAATGTAGATCATACCTAGTAGGTCTTAGCATGACATCATTATAAAAACAAACAGTTGAATTTAGATAAAGAGAATCGGGTTTTTGTAAAAAAAAATCTGCAACGAACTAGAAGCAGGTGAATTCAGTTAAGCAGTTTTATATATCCGAATTCATATATGAACAGTACATCCAATAACACGTTCTATTCTAATAAAGTTATGATACAAATCTAATTTAGTTAGACAATGAAAACACACCTAGTTATTTGATTATATAATTGTATGGAATTTAATATCATCCACTGGCCAAACAAAATATAGCATTACTTAGTTTATAAATATTGGATTTTATGCATTTTACAGTTATTGTCTTAAAAGAGTACATCTTTTAGGTTATAGAAGTGTAAAATTTATTAACTGATATTATCCCAAAATGGTCAGTTTTCTTTCTTCCAAAACAGAAATCACTTTAGAGTGTAAAACTAACACATGTATTAGTAAAGAGATTGTGTTGCAATCAGATCATTTAACAGCTCAGCCTTCTGCTAATTGGCGAGGTTAAATAAACCTCAAATCGTAAGCTGGTTAACTTTTTGCATGTGAAAAAATGTGTTTCCTGTCTTTAAAATCTAAATCTATCTATATATTTATATATAAGTATAGAACCAGGATAAAATGAGGAAAGTTGTTGTCAGTAGAAGAATTTATGATTACTGACTATAAAATCCTGCTATCATTAAATCAAATCACTTACTGAATGCAAAAACTTGCTGTCAGTAGATAAGTTTGTTTACTGAAAAACACCATCATTAAATCAGTTCACGTTTACTGAACCAAGAGCCACTGTCATTTGATTAATTCTTAATACAGAACTTGCTGTCAACAGAAAATTTTGAAAACCAAAATACTTCTTCCATTACATCAGTTCATGATCTCGGAAGAAATCCTGCTTTCAATTGGAAGAACATATTTCACTAAACCTTAATGTCACTGCCATTACTTATTTCAAGGAAAAAAATCACAAAAGTTTTCCATCTGTATTTACTGAACTGAAGAGCCACACTAACGAACATTTGCTGTTAATAGATAAACCTGTATTTCACTAAACTAAAAACCCACTGTCAAATTATTTCAAAAGTGAAGAATAAGAGAATTTCCTGTTGATAAAAGGATTCATGTTTATTGAACCATTAAGCTTGCTACTGTCATTAGGTCATTCATGGTTACAATGCAAGAAAATTTAATAACAATGGAAGATTTCATGTTTATAAATCAAAGTCTACTAGCATTGCATCAATTCATGATTACCAAAGAAGAAAAACGTAAGTAATGTTTTACTGAATGAAAAAATCTTACTGGTTTTAGATTATTCTTAGACATAGAACAAAAAAATTTGCTGTCAACATATGAATTAATTATTTCTAAACTAAAACAAGCCTTCTGTCATAATAGGTAGGCAAACAATGATTTATAAGCGTAAGGAAGAATTTTATTGATGGTGGAACATGCATGTTTTGAAAGAACATTGGTCTGTCTTCTTCAGGTATGATCAGTACTAAGCAATACAAGGCTTATGTAGTGTTACAAAGACAAAAGACAGGGATTAAATGTAATGAAAATGGTGTCTTTTGTCTTTGTAACAATATATAAACTTTTTATTGTTTAGTGCTGATATACATGAAGAAGACAGATCAATGTTCTGTCAAAACATTAGTTTAGTATGTTCCACCATCAATAAAATTCTTCCTTATGCTTATTAATCACTGTTTGGCTACCTATTATTATATTAATGTAATGTGCTTCCTTACTCAAGTAAGCCGTCTGTCATTATACAAGTTCAATGTTATAGAACAAGACCTCTTTACAGTGAGTAAAATGTGGTTACAAAACTCAAAGTTCTGCTGCCAAAATATTTAATTTCTACAGGAAATATGTCAAAGATATAAGCCACTATAACAGTATATAATGACCTGAAAAAATAATTCATTTATCATTATAGAAGACTCTGAATTCCTGTTGTCAATACATCAAATTCAGTGTAACCAAACAAGAATGTTACTTCATAATTACAAGATTGTTTTTGTTTGTAGTTATAAGTAGTTAATTTTGTAATGAACTAGAAGGTCTAGTTTCAGAATATAAATTAATGATTACAAACTAAGTTACCAGAGTAGCATACATTTAAAAAAACCTGAAAGATATTCTGTCAACAGATCATTTAATAATTACAAAGTTCTTTCAAAAGATCTCGCTTATGTGTGCAATATAAAACATTTGCTAATATACAGTAATTATGAAGACCTACAACTAGAACATAGTGTCATAACAAATCTTGATTACCATCACTTAATAAAGCATATCGTCAACACAATTCGAAAATATCTGCTATAAGTAGAACATAGCATCAGTGGAACGAGAGTGCCTTTTGTCATTGTAGCAAATTATTAGAACTAAAGTGCTTTTTGTTATTAAAACATATGATGAAAACTAGTGTATTTGTGATTAAGCATATCATCATTAGAACTAGAATACCTTTTGTTAAGAGCAAATTATTAGAACTAGAGTACTTTTTGTTATTAAAACATATGATGAAAACTAGTGTATTTGTGATTAAGCATATCATCATTAGAACTAGAATACCTTTTGTCATTGTAGCAAATTATTAGAACTAGAGTACTTTTTGTTATTAAAACATATGATGAAAACTAGTGTATTTGTGATTAAGCATATCATCATTAGAACTAGAATACCTTTTGTCATTGTAGCAAATTATTAGAACTAGAGTACTTTTTGTTATTAAAACATATGATGAAAACTAGTGTATTTGTGATTAAGCATATCATCATTAGAACTAGAACACCTTTTGTTAAGAGCAAATTATTAGAACTAATGTCTTGTCATTAGGGCATATCATCGATAGAACTAGTTCCTTTTGTCATTAAATCATCATTATAATTACAGAATACATTCTATTAATAAATCATACAGTCATTAGATCTACAATACCTCCAAATGTCAATACAATATACCACACCTTCCCAAGATCTCAGAATAAAACAAATCATAATTAAAGATCTGAAATGGCTTTTGTTGATAAAGCATAACATTGAAAACCTAGATTACATTCAACTCATTGGAGCATATAATTATTATAACTGTAATATGAATAGAACCTGCTATGATTAGATTTAGAGTACCTTCTTGCAATACAGCTTAAAGTCATGAGCATGACATCATTAAAGTACATTATATTATTAAAGTATATCTCCATAAGACTTAAAATACATTTAATCAGTAGTGTATCACCTTTAGAACAATAATACTTTCTTCCAGTAAAGACTACCATTAAAAATACATTCTGTCAACTGAGCATATCATGACTAGACCTAGAATACTTATTGTCAATGAAGCAAGCAACCATTATAATCGTCTTTTTATAATATAACTTGACATGATTAGATCTAGAATACTCTTTGTAAAACACAGTTCACCTTTGCAAGACATGTTAATAAATCGTAATTAAAAAGTAGCATACTTTTTTCAATATGATATATTAGCATTAGAACTATATACATTATGTCAATATAAATTATTATTCTTAAAAATTTATAATACATTATTTTAGTGCAGTTTATGCTATCTACAGCTTCCAAGAACTTTTGTAAATAAAATAAAACATCATTACAGATCTAAAATGTCTTCTCAGTACAGCATGTTATCATCAGATCTAGAATACTTTTCTCTATGTAGCAAGTTATCATTAGAATCAAAATTCCTTCTATCAATTGTCATTCCATGATCAAATGTAAAATACCTTGTGTTAGTAGAATGCAATAAGCCTTTCCAAGATCTTTAATAAAAAAAATTCTCCTTAGAACTAAAATCCTCTTGCTCAATAAATCATATCGTCATTGAAACTAGAATACCCTGTTCCAGTAATGTATATTATTAAAAAAAGGATTAGTGTCTTCCACCAAATAATAATATTTAAATTTATTTACAACTTACAGTGTACTTGGAAATTATCACGTTACTGATTGAGACTTTGTATATATACTCGCACATAAAACTTTCAAAATATCCACAGCAAGCTATAAATAAAGTTACATGCATAATATTATTACAATTAGAATATTTTCTATTGGTAGAGCATATCATCATCAGATCTGTCATTAAAGTATATAATTAAATCTAAAATAATTCAGTTAACATATCATCATTACAACTGTGGAAGATATAGAATCTGTTATGATTATATCTAGGATAACTTCTAATACAGCATGGCATCATTAGATATAGAATACTTTTATCAGTACAGTTTATCAACATCAGAACTAGGATTCCTTTTGTCAATAGAAGATACTATGATTAGATTTAGCTTACTTTTTATCCAAAGTTAGAATAATCACTATAATACTTTTTTTTTTACAAAGAGGAATACCTTCTATCAACAGAGCATGTCATCAATAGAACTAAAATACCTTCTTAAAGTACAGTATATCACCATTAAATCTGTAGGGCAAATTGTCATTACAGCTTTCCAGGATTTTTCATGGATAGAACAAGTCATCATACAGTTCTTGATTTCCTTCTGTTGCTATTACACCTATAGTTAAGAGTTTTTTGTCAAAGGTTCAAATCATTATTATAGATCTGGTGTACCCTCTTCATTAGGCCATTTCAAGATATCATGAATTACTACTGCAAATAGAACAACTAATCTTTACAAATTCACAAGTCTTGCACTTGTAGATTAGTCAATAGTTTTCATATCAAAGGTCATACTATAAATTTATTATCTAATGAATTCAAAAACATATATATTGTTCTCAGTGCATGATTACATAATCAAAATTTTGCTTTCAAGGTATCCGTTCATCCTTTAAAAAACATTATAGAATACATTAATTCTTGATTTCAAAAGCTATAAATTCTTCTGCCAGTACATCAACTTGTGATCACAAATCCTGCTGTTAATACATTATATTGTGATTTCCAAGTCACAAATCCCGCTGTTAGTACCTAAATTCATAGTTACAGAAACATAAGTCCTGATGCTGATACATTAATTCTCGGTTACAAAGAACGAGAAATCTTGTAGGTATTTCAGAGTTGGAAATCTTGTTAATATATTTGTTCGTGATTATGTAACCCAAAATCTTGTTAACAATAAATAAATCAGTTCATGATGACAGTCCCATTAGTTCTGCTATCAATACATCAATATGTGATTTATGAAACATAATCCTAATAAACATTATTTCGTGATTTTGGGACTAGAAATCTTGTTGTCAATAAATTAATTTATTATTATAGAACCAGAAATTATTTGGCTAATAAATCAATTAGTGAATAAAGAGTGAAAAATATTGTTGTAAATGTATCATTTCATGATTAGAGAACCCTAAATTGCATTCAGTACTTTCCAGAAAATTATTAACTATGGAACTTGGAGATTTAGAGATCTCCACCTGTAAAACACTGATTTAACTTTATAGTTTAATAACATTCAAAGATGCAATTAAAATTATTTTATATACAGTATGCCAATTTTTGCTAACTACTATTAAGTTACGTATATTGATCTGCTTGTAATATTATTAAGAGGAATGTAGTATTAATTAATATTAACTTCTGATGAAAGCCAGCAGCCTACTTAGCCTTAAAATCAACTGGTAATGAGTTTTTATGTATTCAGTTAGCCTCCCTTTTCGAATGTATTGGTAACTTATTTTTGGCACATGCTCGGGAACAGTTGTTTTCTTAAATTTTGTATTATAAATCTCCATGGTTGCGTCTTACTTTAACAGTACGACTTCCTTGGAATACGAACCTGCATATATTTGATGAAATACTCGCATATTTCAATAAAAAACATAAGAATTTGGGTATTTTAAAATCTGTTCACTTTGTAGCGCTGAACTTGGTGGATTTTATGTATTTTTGGCACACGTATATATACATCTATCAATCACATTTAATAGACAAAAATTAAAATCGCGTAATTTAATCATTTTTCACATAACAGCCGATTGATGTTGCCGCCGAAGTTACAACTCCAGACCTATATGTTTTACAAATTACTTTTCTCAGTGAATTTTGAACGTAAAGCTCAGGCGTTGTTGGAGTAACATCGAAAGATATATAACGTCTATTGTTCTAGATTAAATGTCTTGCGTTTGTCTCGCATCTGTGCAAGTTTACATGACGTTCCCGACGCACATTAATGTAACTTTGAAAACAAGAACAACCGAAATGACTTAACACAATGAGCAGTTTAAGTTAATAACTGTGAAGTAAGAAAAGTGTATGGACAAAGAAACTGGAATGTTTGGTACATATTTATCATAACTAAAAATTATCTTCCCTGTTAACCAGCATTAGGCTTATTGGTGTTAGGGAGTGAAAATAAGTACAGTGTTAATAATAATATTTTACAAGCATCACAAGCCTAAGAATTAAGAAACTGTGAAATTAATATTTGTGTAACTAGGATAAAACAAAACTAATATCCAGATAAATACTGGATCAACGAGGATTGTAACCCGATCACGGAGGATAGAGTATGATTAGATAATTGAAAATTTCTCCAGTGAACATAAAAAAAATCAAATTATAATATTCAGTCAAACCACATTGAATGTTCATTGTGCTTTATGCTCAGAGAGAGTACGTGTGTCTTGCCATCAAAACTATGAACGTTTCAGGTAATTATCAAAGTTTACAAGTAGGATAAAAAAGGATCATATGTACAGACACTATGTTCATGCATGGTTTTAGCACTTTTGTAAATTAATGTTTACTTTACTTTCAGGTATAACTATACTAACTAGAAATCGACCGGAACTGTTAATGAATGTGGCCCCATTAATGGTTAAAGAGGGAACTAGAGAAAGTATTATTATGTAACATATTTACGCGCTGTGTGAGAATAAAGACAAAATATCCTGCATATCTCAATAATTATTCAAATGTTTACCTACTTGATATGACCCATCTGTTATAATTATCTTGTATTTAAATATAATCATAACGTATATATTATGGAAGTACATCACATAAAAGTGTTTAATTATCACAATACCAGATACAACATGCCAAAGAACGATAACTTTTTCAGTTCCTACGAAACAATTTCGCAAACAAGGATAAGTTTGTTACACCAGAGAATAGAATCTAGAAAACAAGCATAACTTTTCTATGCTATAGAACACAATATATCGTTCAACATGATAAATTTTCAGGCTACGGTAACTACTCTGTTTTGAGCTAGAACGAGATGCAGACAGAAATGAAATTTTCAAGCCTTAATTAAATATGTTGAGTAACAAAAAAAAAAAAAATATGGTGGAAAAAGATAATTTAACTACGATCTCAGACCTACTGCAAAGTATAATAATTTACCTTGAATAACTATTAAGTTAATACGCGAATGTATATTAACTTTGGAACGTTCCACATATTATTTTATATAATTATTTTAATAAAAATATGTGCATATAAATACGAATTAGATCAAATAAACTGTACTCTATCGTCAAGAAATTTCCCATTTTATAGTAGATTAGGCGTTTTCATCTACACTACTTTGATCTTAAACTGATGGGTTAAGTTAACTCAATTTCTCAGTAAGTGTGTGTCTTATTTTTGAAAAAAAAATATATGTCTGTACAGCTTATTTTTTAATATTCTTCTTTTAAGGCGTTACATTTGTTTTAATAAAATAGTCCATTTTTTTACCTAAGATTAGATATTGGCTAAGAGTTTTCTTTCGTTCTTTTTATGCTCCAACAACTTGAAAGTTTTTTGTTAAAATTTCAATTAAAACACTAAGCTAGAATAATACTAATATACGTTTTACTGTGATCAGAGTGTCCAAAATCGACTGTTAAAGCAAGTTTTGAGTTTAGAAGAACAGGAGACTGCACACTAGCTTATAAAATATAATCATATTAATACAACTTTCATAACATGTATATTCACGGTTTAACTGTATGTAGTAAAGCTACGATCTTTAGTAAACACCTAACAGCACAAACAGTTAAGTTGAATAATTGCCACAACTTTATTTTCATATTTCAACCACTTGGCACTCGGAAGCACGAGTACATCCAAGCCAGATAACATTTTGTTTAACAGCTTCTGATGTTTCTTAATTTAAACATAAGCAGACCTTCGGTAGCGGAATTCTCTTTCGGAATCCTCATCTGAGAGCAGGTTGGCCAGTACATACAGCCGCTCCAGATCCTTGCTGTTACCGTTATCATATAGTTGTTTACTGATCTGATCCCACTGGCCATCGTCATCAAAACTTGATGGTGGAGAGGATCTCTTCTGGCTTGGCAACATAAAATATCGGTAGTCAGTGGGGTAAGGGTAGGAACGTCGCGCCATACTTATTTCTCTGTATGGGTTTTTCCACATAATTTCGGGCTCGATAACCTCTTCATCTGTATCAGGAGTGTTATAAGCGTAGCTTCCCGAGTAGAAGGCGGGTAAAGGTCCACTATCTGGTGAGTACGCCATCTCCGAGTTCTCCTCTTCATTAGCAGTTAATGGATGCTGTTCTTGATAAGGTACCTGCTGTACAACATTCACATTTTAACCAGTTCTTATCAATAATATTGACACGCTAAAAGAAGATCTCATCTGATTATAGAACGAGCTAAAAGTTGTTTCAAATTTTGTAAGAACAGGAACTACGTAATTAAAACATAAGAATGAATTTTTGTTCGACGTTGTTTTTCATCTCATCCACAAGTTTTCGACATTTCGGTCAATATTTAAATAATCGATACACTCGTTAGCATATAATGCATTGCAATCTTTGCATCTTTACTTTTTTTGAAGAGCAGGAAGTTCAGTAATAGAACTTTTAATAATAACGGTGTGTATTTACAAGTTCTATTTGGAAAAAGAAGTACAGGTTTTAGTTAAGACCCTAAATACTGATTAAAATGATCAGAAACTACGTAATTAAAACATACGTTGGAAATGCAACACCTAAAGTTAAATTATTTAATAAATGATGTAACATTTAACGCTTTGACGGAGACTTTGTTACATTTCCAGTCGACCCAACGAGCTCTGATATTGTGCCAGAGGTCTCGTCGGCAATTGTGTACGTCGCAAGATACCTACGGTCCAGATGCTGTTATGTTTCTTCTCGTTGGAGACCCATAGTAAAGGGTCATAAAGAAAGATTTGTAAAGAATTATTAACAGATACTGCTATGCATTCGGACGTTGTACGTTTCGCGTAGACTGAACATAAGTTTTTTTTGCGACTCTAAATACTATACAAAAGGGAAACTACGTCACCTACTAACGGAGTGCTTCTCTACATTTTAAAGACCCTTGGCTGCATACTCGGACGGTCTCGTCATGAGACCTCGATACTGCTTAAAACACGGGCCAACGAAAATAGACACAGCAGCGGCAAGAGGCTCCACGCTGTACACATATTTACCGCAAAAAGAACGATTTTATCGATAATTGCAAAACTGCTTCAAGAGTAGATAACATTCTTTCATTTGTGTTAAATACTGTTGACTTTTTAATATAAGGACACAGATCTTTTAATGACTGTAACTTAAGGGAGAACAGTGTGATAACTTGTTATAACTTTATCTTATTTCTTTTACTTCAATGATCTTTACTAATTTTAGTAAACCTTATAAGAATTTTGTTGACGTTTAAGATGTAAAACCTAAAACTGTTATTATGTTATACGGTAGGAATAATACTAACTTAATTATAATAAGCATGGATTTTGACCATCAGTCTCTGGAGGTAAATTTAATCATGTTGGTGAATGTCTGACATGGTTTTTATGTTACTATATACGAACACTCTTTAAAAACTGATTTCATGTAAAAGGATAGACCATCCCTGTTAGTCGTGAAGTCACAAATCTTACAATTATATCATCGTATTGAAAACGACCACTATGGTTTTCGCAGTAGTTATTGTTCCAACGATAGAGTGATGTAACATCACAGTATTTAACACATTTTCCGTCCTTTGTATCATACAAGAGCCTGATAGTGTTAACTCTGCCTAGTGGAAAACGTCAACACATCACACTTTACGATCAGCACTAAAGTAACTAGAGATTATTATAATTTAAAAGATATAAATGAATGATAATGCATCATATTAATAACGTTGCTGTTACTGCAGTGAATATCTAATTTTCCTAAATATTATAACGTTTATAAATTCTCAATACCTATGTGAAAAGAATCTAATTGTTACTGCTACAATCAGTATTTTGTGTTGTTATATATATATATCAGACAAACTATATTAGTTCTTGTTTTCATTATGTTCAAATATTGCATAACAATAGAACAGGTTGATTCTCAAGTTGAGATCATTGGCAGTAAGAGAGTCTGAGTAGAAAGTATACAAAAATTGTACGCTAACTGAAATGTATTAGTCTTGTAAGAAAACAAATTTAATCTTCGCAGTCCAGCATTTTATAATTCATAAATGTTTCCATTTGTGTTATTTTTAAGTATCAAAAAATATCTAGCTGTCAGTGGAATTACCACTTGGTTAAATTTGAAGAACACAACCCAAATTGGAAGATGAATAATATTGATATTTCTTTATGGGTCTAAACAACAACAACACCATGAAGAAGTATGTATAGACCTTGGTAAGTTATATTTGTAAACAATAATAGTTTTAAACTACAAATATGTGAATTCTAGATTGAAAACAGAAAATAACTTCCTGATGTACCCTCACAATTTGACAATGTTACGAAACGAATGTACATTTAGCTTTGTGTATCATTATGTAAAGTGGAAGAATAGAAAAATTCGTTCTTCATTGTTAGACTTACATGCAGTTTATTTTGATTGTAAAGTATATTGTGTAATGATGAACACAATGATGAAGTATTTATAAAATGTGAAAGAATCGTCTTTTCTTGTAAACCATATCTTTACCGTAAAAAGCAACAAAATGGAAATATTTTGTCATGAACATTTTACACACTTTGTTCTTAAAAGCTTTGAAAGTAGAGTGTATGCACATTATTTGTGATAAATCATAGATAAAGTCGTATTTTCTAACTTGAACTTTTTTTTTTTTTTTTTTTAATTTTCGCGCAAAGCTACACGAGGACTATCTGCGTTAGCCGTCCATAATTTAGCAGTGTAAGACTAGAGGGAAGGCAGCTAGTCATCACCACCCACGGCCAACTCTTGGGCTACTCTTTTACCAACGAATAGTGAGATTGACCGTCACATTATAACGCCCCCACGGCTGAAAGGGCGAGCATGTTTGGTGTGACGGGGATTTGAACCCGCGACCCGCGATTTTATTTATATATATTAAAATATATTTAAAATATACTGAGCTATGATGAAGCGTAGGTTTTATATAAGAAAATCACAGAACACTCATTTGTAACTGACGATTAATATATTTGATGATTTTTCTATAAAGTATAAGTGTTTGTTTCGTTTCTTTGTAATTAAGCACAAAGCTACACACGGCTATCTGTGCTCTGCCCACCACGGGTATCGAAACCCGGATTCTAGCGTTGTAAGTCCGCAGACATGCCGCTGTGCCAATGGGGGGCAAAGTATAAGTGAAAGATAATGCATCAAATGTTAACATAACATTGTTTCAAAATCTATGTGAGGATATTTCTGTTTTGAAATAGTTGATAAACTATTTTTTCTGCGCCTACTAACTGAAATCTTACATGTTTAGTTTGCATGAAATCATTTATTTGTTTAGTACGATGTATTAAAATGTCTCATGTTAAATGTAGTGTTTGTTTTCACATATTGTTATACAAATGAAAAATACAGACTCTAAGTGAAATAGTAATATGAACATAATGTACAAAGGTTGTGTGAAAGTTAATCCTCTATTTTATAAACTAAGATGTTTATAGTATATTAGTGTGTCTTGAAGTTTTTTAAATACATATTTCAGTTTGCTTGTCGAGTCTATGATTTCACGTTGTTGTTATAAAGATAAACAGTAAATGTGTTGGATTTATAAAATGTGAAAGAATAATCACTTGGTTTATAATTACAAATACTTTTAAGATTATGATTGTCAACTCTTTTTTTCAGTTATAAACTATGGTCATTTATGAAAAATGTATTTGATGCTTTGGTGAACTAATAAGATTAAATGATACAGTGTAATATAATTTCTGATTTTTCAAGAACTATTTAATACATATATTTGAATCATTATAAAGTGACATGACTTTAGTCTCGTACAAATCATTACGTACTAAAAATAACATATTTTACCAAAAAGGCTTTTAACCTTTCATTCTACTAATTTTAATAGGGTAATGGTTGTTTGGCCAAGTGACGACCTCTCCTGCCAGTGACCCTTTGTATTTCCTAAAATCAAAGTTTATCAACGCCATTTGAGTCGGACCTCTCAGACACTATTAGCGTGAGTTAGAAATCTGTGCAAGATAATCGTTATAGACGTTTTGATTTATGCATAAATAAAAATGTTTGTTTATAAGATGTGCTGTAAAACTACTAAGTTATATTAATTTTAATTGTACAGTATATTTTGTACTTCAAGTGCATGTTATACACTAAATCATAAAATGGTAAGTGCTGCTATTTTAAATAGTAAAGTGATTAATTAAACAGTAAGCCATCCATTTATCGTATTTAGTTACAGCAAAATGATTTACTACTGAGTTTATTAACTATTTGTTAAAATTAGAGATACAAATGAAAAATAGTTACATTCATAGAGGTCAGCGTAAGAATATGTTTTAAACCAAACATGATAATTAGTGAAACGTGCGTTATATGTACAGATATGCTTACAAAGTGAAACAGTAAGCTTGTATGTTAAATTATTATATATTATTTAGAGATTTAAATAATTATGCTGTCATGAAAAATACGTCCTTCAGAGGACGATAATTGTAAAACAATGTAATGCAAATTAATAACAGAAGCGAAAATGATACTATAGTGCATTAAATGTGTACTAAATCGAAACTTAAGTCATAATTCGCTGCTGAATAATAATGTAACTGTCTCGTTGAATTATTTGTAAAAACGAAACATTAGGTATAATAAAGTCCTTTCAGGACAGATAATTGTAAAAGCATGTAAAGTAAATTATTGGCTATGCTACAGTATTTGCCTCAGTTAAATAATGAATAAATTGAGGTCATCATCCAATTGAACTATCCGTTTATAGAAACACCATACGCTCTAGCAGCACTAACCTGAGTAACACAATTCGCCAAGTAACACCGTCCGCCTATAGAACCTTAGTAACACAATTCACCTAGTAACACTGCCTGCCTTTGTAAAACACATGCAATACAATTAAATATATAAATGAAAACTATAAACATAAGTTAAGACAAATTGAAATTTGTACAGCCATATGGAAGTATGGTAACACTATCCGCTTTTGTAAAACACACATAATACGCCTAGTAAGACCATCCGTCTATAGAAACTCCATCCTTAGTAAGATCATCTGCCTATACCAACACTACCCTCAGTAACACAAACCATCTACAGAACCTTAGTAACATCATCCGCCCATAGAACCTTGGTGGCAGCATCCCTATGACAGCAACACCCTCTGGTGCCACTTCGTGGAACTATGACGTCGATGTGTGTGTCGGTTATGCGGTTATTTTATAATATTAAAAATCAACTACAATCACAAGTCCACACAGTGATTATTAAAATATTTAGACCACAACCATTTAGTTAAATTAATTATCAGAATACAACTACAAACCTCATACTGTTTTTCTTGGTTCAAAGCGTCTAGCCACTTAAGTATTTGTGCCACATCTGTGTGGCGTTTCAAACGCATGGCTCGCCTGGGAAAACGTCGAGCAACGTCTAACATCTCTTCCATGTTGTCCCTCAAACTCCTTTTTCTCATGTAACTCCTTTTTCGACGATAGATAGCGTCCCTATAGTCATACGGCCTGTATTGTGAGTATTCATCTACAGTAAATGACACATGAGACAAGTGATGTTACAATTTATAAGTGAATGTTCACCCGTGAACGGAAGCGTATACTGTGGATTGTATTTGTTAATTGCTAAATTATTTTCTTTATCCAATGGAAAATTTTAAATTTGGTTGGAATAAAAAATATTTCTTATCTGATTGGAGGAAAAGTTAAGTCTCGTACAACCAAGTGTTAATTATGCTTTTTATAAATAGAGTGGATATTAAGAATTGTACGTAGTAATCGCCAAATCATTTTAATGGTCTAATGAAAACTTTTGGGAGAATATGGATAAAGAAACATTTCTTTCTAGATTATGGGAAAATTACAAACAAATAACAACTCGTGATTGGAGTAGAAACTACCATATATAAATCTGTAGAAAGGTCTAATAACCGACATGCTGTGTAACTGGTAAGCACCAAGATGATTCAAAACCAATAGTAATATTTAGTCATTATCCATCTCTCAAGCACCTTATCAATGGCTAACGCTTTTAAACTATTTAAAAGGTACTAGTAATGGAACTCACGAAGGCATAGTTCAAACACATACACAATATTATTATATGTATTATCAGATTCATGGAATTTTTCACAATGCAAGCTTAACGTTAATCAATATATTCAGCTCCTACTACTTTCTTGTAAAACTGTAAAAACTCACCGTACACATCTGTGCCCAGAAGAGGTCCAGACGTTCTGTCAGGTTCGGGTCCATAAGGTTCTCCGCCATATGGGTTTGTAACACTTAATACAGAAGGGGTGTCCAGATAACCAAAGACGTCGAGGTTTTTGTTCGAGTTGTATTTTTCGTCTTGTTCATCTTCGCTCAACAGTTTTTCTTCATCTATTTAAATTTAATAACTATGTTTAATTTTTTATCCTTTGAATATTTGAAATATAACATGAACTTATAATTGAACTTCAAAGACATTATTAATCATGAATATATATATACATATACATTCACACACACACACAAAATAATTAACATGGAACAGAAAGTAACTGAGGAAACAAATAATTATACAATGATGCCAGTTATAATAATATCATAATCCGTCGTTCTGCTAACATTACTGAAAACTCTTGGAAGATGTAAAACATTCTCGCAATTAAATACGAAAAAGGATGTTGAATCAACGCTATCAATTCCCTTTACAATCTTAAACACCTCAATAAGATTTCCTCTAGCTCTTCTTTTTTTCAAGAGAAAACAAGTTCAGAGATCTTAACTTATCCTTAAATGACAACCTTTCCATCCCAGGTACCATCCTAGTAGCTCTCCTCTGAACTCTTTCCAACAATTCAATATTATTTCTAAGGTAAAGTGCCCAAGACTGTACACAGTACTCCAAACGTAGCCCAAACAATGACCTATACAATGACATTATAACCTCTTTATACTTGTATAAATACAGTCTAAGCTCCTATATGCCCTGCCATTAGCAACAGCACATTGCTTGGATGGGTTAGGAGAATGATGAATCAGAACATCAAGATCGTTTTATTCCATAATATTTTCAAGGTTATTTCCATCAAAAACACACTCATAATTCAATTTGTGGTATTGCACATGCATTACCTTGCATTTATTATAATTAAAAAATCATTTACTATTTATTCCCCCAATTCACCAAATAATCCAAACCCTATTGTAACGCAGTAGCATCCTTCTCACAGCCAGCAACGCCAAAAATATTAATATCATCAGCAAATATAAATAATTTATTGACCATTCTTTCATTTATGTCTTTAATCTAGATCAAAAAGAGCATAGGTCCTAACACTGAGCTCTGAGACACCCCCACTTGGGACATCAATTCAGTTTGATTGAATTCCATTTATAATATATCCCTCTGATTTTTTCCATCCAGCCAATTTTCTATCCAACGAGTCAACCTATCCCCATACTCACAGAGATAACTTTTTAAACAAACATTTAATGTGGCACCTTGTCAAGTACATTCTGAAAAGTCAGACACACCAAATCTACATCCGTACCCTCATCTACAACCGCAGTAATCTCTTCAAAGAATGTCAAAAAATTAGCAAGTCAAGATTTTACCCTAATGAAACCACGCTGACTAACCAATAACATTTTCAACTTTGTTAACTGACCTTGCAAAGCATTTTTTATCACAGTTTCAAAGACTTTTTCCATTACTGATGTAAGACTAAAAGGTCTATAATTACTGAGACAATTTTTATCACATCCCTTGAAAAGTGGAATTCATTAGCCAACTTCCAATCTACTGGTGTCTGCCCAATATTCAAGAACTTAGAAAAAAATAGCAAGCGTTATAAAATAGTTTGTGTAATATTTAACATATTTGTCAGAGAAGAAAAAATATACTTATTTCGGTAGGCTAAATTTATTATAAAGTGAATACAAGTTGATAGCGTTACCAAATACTATTCGTTTCCCATTTAGCTAATCAAAGTGAACGATACAGATTTTTTCGAATGAAACTTATGAGTCAGGAAATATACTATTGAAACTGCTTCACTTACGTAAAAAGGTGAACTTGTGACTATGGAGAGAGTACCAGTAGGAACTATGCATTGATAGAAAAATAAATGTGACTTCAACATACAGTAAGTAGCCTAACCTTCTGTGTTACGATATTCTCCTGATGTTTTTCATTTATTTGAATTTTTCATAAGTAACAGATATCCAAGAGAATGTTACACAGGCTCTATCGTAAATAATCTGCTACAATTTAGGCAATGAATAACGTCCTTAAGACTCGAACTTGATAACTGTTTACTTTTATGAAATTCCAAACACTTCTTTCAAATGTTGATATCAATTGATTTTACTCAGATACACCAAACTCATGGAAAAAGTTTGTCACATCTCATCATCGCTCTAAGAATAAATTATCTTTCATTATTTACAAAACGAAACAGTTAGAACTTGGATACCTAATTCTTTCAATCTATACTATTCAGTTTCAAAATTCACAAAGTCACTGATTTGTCAACACTCACCGGAACGTTTATCAGTTTGTTCTTCTGTACTCGAAGTGGAAGTTTCTTCGCCATCAGTTGATTCTGAGCCGTCTTTATTTGAATTTTTCGGAAAGTCGTCAGTTGTTGCCGAAGGTTTGTTTTGTTGGTTACCAAACATGATGTTCTCCTCTGAACGTTTTTCTGCAATATAAATGATAATTTTTTCAAATTGTTCGTTTTATCCACATATGTTAAAAAAAGAATACTTTCAGGTGCACCATTTTTTATACGTATTGAAATTAATCAATACTTTGAAGTGTGATTGTTCAAAAATATAAAAATATATTCAACCAAATAGGTTGTCATACAATTTTAATCCAGGTAAATATAACATTATGAGAACCTATTAAATTCAAAATATTATCACATGTAATTCGCGCTACTCTGTGATATTTGAAGAAAGCATAATTACAAAACTAGTTGCTTCATCATTTCAGGTTATCCCCGTGTGTGACACCAAATGTAAAAACAAGACACTTTTGTCTTGAATTTAGTTTTTCTCACATTATGGCTAGATGCTGATGCTAATTAGTTTTACTAGTGTATATAGAAAAATATTCTGCCATTTATTCTGAGATTTTAATTTTGTGTCTTTCATAGCTATTCACTAAAATGAGCATTTGTAACGATACATACTGAAAACCGTGTAATTTGTAATAAGAAAAAAGGGGCCACTCAACATATTATAGTATTAGGAAAATAAGACAGAAAAATTACCTTTAGTTTCCGAACTGTTGGATTTTTCTGCCACTGTTTTGTTTTCCTGGATATTTGGGGCTGCTGTTGCAACGAAAACGAACCAAAACACCAAAAGTGTGCTGCCAGCAAGTCGTAACTTCATGTTCGTTGAATATAATAAACTACAAATAAATAAGTTGTAAGTCATGTCAGTATGGAGTCATCATCGGTCAACCCTCAAAATAGGATTGATTACCTAGATATACGCAAAACAAGATAATGCCTTTTTGATTTCATAACCTCTTTTGTTTGTGTGTCTGTTTTAAAGTCTGTCACATCATGTATATACGTGTTTTATTTCTATAACAGTTTCATTAATAAAATGTCATTTACGTTTTTAACATTTTATGATTCTATATATATATATATATATATTTAAAGTTAATGTTTTCTAGCTGAAGAGTAGCCAAACCTAGAAGACCGGTTCTATAAAGTGTATGAAATTTTATACAATTTTACAAGTTGAGAGGGAGAATAAAGCTAACTATTTCATGGAAGAAAACTTCAAGTTACTTTGCAAACTATAATATCTACAGGAAATGAAATCTGACTTCTTAACCTACAATATATATGTACACATATATATACGTACAAAGTGAAAGAAAAAAGGAAGATTTCTCAGAAAAAATGATTGAAATACATGCACATATATATATTAACGAAAATAAAATTCACAAAAATAGTCTAGTTTCTTTTTTTCTTACTTTATCAATTACATAGCGTGAACGTAATGCTCTCCTTTAAGAAAAAGGTAAATTTTCAAAGTAATTCGGAAGTATCGCACATTACTTGGGTGAATGCGCAGGCATAGCTATGTTTTGGTTACATTCACACGATTTTTTGATACGCAAGTGAAGATATCATTACAGCACGGATCTTCAACAAACTCATCAAAATATTTTTTATTTGAAAGCTAGAAACTCACTATGGGTGAGTTGATATTCCAATCCCTCCAAATATGTTCAGTTAAAGCAGATTTGTTTTCACTCTTTTCGAAGTTAATTAGACTGTGTGGGCAGGTATACGATGTCTGTTGCTAAGCGACACCCATCTACGCTCACGCTTGTTCAGATATAATTCAAAATAGCTGATGTGGAAAGTTGGTATATTATCTACTGCTACGAAGCCATAAAAATTTAACTGGTATAGTTCTGACGTCAGTATTTTTTTTTATGAACTAGCTTAGACAAGCTCTTTGTGAAATACAGAACGACTAAGCTTTACTTATATCTGAAAGTTTGAGAGCTAGCTTGCAGAAACGTAGTAGTAAATTCATATTGTATAAGTCAGAAATGAGATTCGTATTATTGATCTTATTTTATTGGAATATGTATCTATTACCATATTGGCCCAATTATAGGGCGATCTCGAATATAAGGCGACCTCTATTTTCCAAAACCACAGGAAAGAAAAAATCGCCAGTCATCCCTATTTAAACATATACTATTTATATTAAGAGTTAATAACTAGCCGTACTTTTTTGTACACTACCTATAGTATGAGTTGAATCATCAACTGTCCTTATTTAAACATAGACTACCTATAGTGAGAATTAAGTCGTCAGCTGTCCTTACTTTAACATAGACTATCTATAGTAAGAGTTAAGTCACCAGACGTCTAAAGAGTAAACTGTCTATAGTAAGAGTTGAGTCATTAGCTGTTTCTATTTAAATATAGGCTATATATAGCAAGAGTTAACTCATCAGATGTCATTATTTAAACGTAGACTACCTATAGTAAATGTTAAACCACCAGCCATCCTTACCTAAACGCAGACTATCTATGGTAAGAGTTAAATCACGAGCCAGTTGATGATTCAACTCATACTTTAGATTTTTTTACATTTAAATAAGGACGATTTAACTTTTACTATAGGTAGTCTATGTATATTTAAGGACAATTGATGATTCAACTCACACTATAGGTAGTGTACACATAAATAAGGAGAACTGGTGATTTCACTTTTACTGTACGTAGTCTATGTATATTTAAGGACAATTGATGATTCAACTCACACTATAGGTAGTGTACACATAAATAAGGAGAACTGATGATTTCACTTTTACTGTACGTAGTCTATGTATATATAAGGACAATTGATAATTCAACTTATACTATAGGTAGTGTACACATAAATAAGGAGAACTGGTGATTTAACTTTTACTATAGGTAGTCTATGTATATATAAGGACAATTGATGATTCAACTCATACTATAGGTAGTGTACACATAAATAAGGAGAACTGGTGATTTAACTTTTACTATAGGTAGTCTAAGTTTGAATTAGAATAACTGGTGATTTAACTCTTACTATAGATAGTCTATGTTTATATAAGGACACCAGTTCTCCTTATTTATGTGTACACTACCTATAGTATAAGTTGAATCATCAATTGTCCTTATATATATATACATAGACTACCTATAGTAAGAGTTAAACCACCAGCCTTCCATATTTAAACATAGACTATCTGTAGCAAGAGTTAAGTCACCAGTAGTCCTTATCTAAATGTAGACTATTTATAGTTAGAATTAAGTCACCGGCTGTCCTTACATTGAAATTGACTATTATGAGAGTTAAGACACTACAAGCTTTTATAGCTGTAAACTATTTGTTACTGCCAAAGTGTTAACCACTTGTTGTCCTTTTTAAACAATGATTAACTGTTCTAAGAAGTGAACCATCAAATATTATTTAGAAACAACTATTCTATTTACAAAATGTAAGGTACTGGCAGTTTTTATTAAAAAAATGAGTTGCTGACACCAAGGATAAGAACACTATCATTTTCTTATGCTTTGACTTATCATTTTTATATGTAATCTACCAGTTGTATATTTTGCATTATAAGAGTGATAAAAAAACTTACAACTTGGTGTGTAGGAGTTACACCTAAATTGTAAGTTTTGAATTCTGTTATCTCCAAATGTTTATTGAAATTACCCTAATTATTTGTAAGATAAGACAGAGTTATATGCCAGTTCGTAATGTTAATCATATATCAGGTACCCACTTATTTTTACGTCTATATTTAACGTCTTTGATATGGAAAAAATTGGCACAAAATAATTCATTTACATTTTTAAATTGAATTTTTAGCACACTACGTTTCGGCCTTATGCCCTTCATTAAGTGATGAGACTAACTGTTATATGGAATATCATTGCGTAAAAAACTATCAGCCTATTATTCTTTTTAGATTTAAATTTTTTTTTTCATGAGTAAACCTTATAGCCAAATAGTCATTCTTCAATTTACTACTGACAGTAAAAAAATATTTGGGATTATAAGAAAATATTCTTCTTCTAAAACTTCTCCACGTAATTTCGGTAAAAATGGGGAAACAAATCGGGGCTGAGTAACTAACATATGGATAAATAATAAACTGTTGAAGTGACAATAAACTGAAATACTTGGATTTCTAAAGTAAATAACAATGTTATATGTTACAGTTATAACATTTTATAGCCGCTTTTTAGTATATTTCAAACAGTTTTCTATTTTCATCAAAGTAACATATATATCAAATAATTTTGTTTTCTGGTCGATTGCAGTATCCTTGTGGTATATTTGTCATATAAAACACAATTAATTTCAAAATATCTAATTCTTAATGTAATAAACGTTTGGCTGACTCTAAGCAGAAAGATATTTATTATTTGTGAGAATAAACTTCTAATGATTTTCTCTTACCTGAAAGAAATCACGACCTTTCCTTCCAATTCCAAGTCCACAGGTCTGCTGTGTCACTGCAGTACCATCAGATCTTACAAGAGAAGCCACCCACGCACAACGCGCAATTGCTCCAAAATTGTATGTGCGCATGCTCCAGGTTGTTGCCATAGCAGCAGAACATCGATATCTACCTTCTACTCATTGCAGCAGCAGTGAACTTTAGCGAAATTCTGACCGCATCCTGCTGAACCCGACTAAGTTATCACAATTTTTGATCATATAAGCCACTCTTTCAGGGAATGGAATTGGTCGAAATAACTATTTTTCAAAAATAAAATAGACAAATTACTTGTAAATAAGTAAATAAACAGTTAATTTTAATTTCAACATATGTAATTTAAGAAAAAACATGCATGTCTTATAAACTACACTAGCACTTTTTTGGAATATTTTTTGTTAGTTTATTAGTAGAATTCTAACTTTTAATCTAACTATAATATTAAATTTTGGAAAATTGATTTTGCTGGAGAGATCGATTATATTGCATCATTACGTGTCTTTAATGCTTTGTCTCTGATACTTTTGTTTGCTTAAGAATACCAGTTTTGTAAGACTTGGAAAGGATAGAATATTCTCTAAAGAGAAAATACTTTTTTCTATCAGTTTTTACAGTTCAGTAAGAACTGTACATTAACAATAAATCTTATATATATTGCAAACTGTGGTGTCTGTCCGAGCTTTCGTCTGTCTCCCGTTTGAAAAGCTGCGTACGCAGGAAAAGCTCAACATTCACTTTTGAAATGACGGGAGAACAGTCATGAATAATGTTCATACCAAATTTTATTTCGCAAACAGGATATTCTACACTAAACTGTTAGGAATTAATCACATTATCACTCATATTTCAAAATATGATGTAACAAAAAGAATAAAAATGTAGATTTACCGTATGTTATTGTTGAGCGGCTCTTAGCATGACTGAAATGCTCAACAATTACTTTTTGAGGTGGGCGGTATACGTAGCTCATAGCTTTGGCTTTGAGTGAAATCAAGAGTGCAACACAATTAATCTTTTTAAAGTCTATGAAATAATTTAAATTGATACATTAACTTAAACTTTTGCCGTCACTGGGGACGAGTACTTTTGCTTGTGTCTAATAAAGCGAATATTCTGTTAATGAAAAGATAAATCTCGATATTCATCAAGATAATTAATATTTTTACATATAAAACACATTTTATAGCAGATTATGTTAATGGTTACATTTTCTTGTGGTTAAGTTTAAAAAATAAAAATAATGAAATAATGACATTCAGAGCTAGCTTTGATAATAATAATATTTTTATTTATTTAAGTTAAATATTCATTTTTAATCATCAAGAAATTAACTAATCACTGAGTTTCAAGTAGGAAAAATATTAATATTAGGAAGTCTGTGTCAATAAAAAACTTAAATGATTTAAAATATACAGTTCATTCTCTTTACATTCAAATTTATCTTTAAATCAAAGAGGCTTTGGTTAAAAATTACATTGCACTCTCCTTCTTCTTCTTTTTTATTGTACATCGATTACGAAATATGCGAGCTACAGCTCTTGGTGCAGACGATTATATTTGTTACAAGCTGCCACCCAATGGCACAGCGGTATGTCCGCGGACTTTCAACGCTAGAAACCGGGTTTAGATATCCGTGGTGTGCAGAGTACAGATAGCCTGTTGTGTAGCTTTGTGCTTAACTTCAAATCGTTACTAGCTGGAGTACCTGTCCCCTGGAAGTTATGCAAATTCATGGTTAATGAAAGGTTATCTTAGGACATGGAAAATTGCTTCCTTTATACGTAATTGTAAAAAAAACGCAAAAAAACACCCATAAAATCCGCAAAACTGAAAATTTGTATGTACTCCCGCATGAACCCAATGAACCTTCATACCAAATTTGGTGAAGATCCATTCATAGGAGGTGAGGTAGTGGAAAAAAAAAATGCAAAAACGCCCATAAAAACCGAAAAACTGAAAATATGTATGTACCCCCGCATGGACGTAATGAACGTCTATACCAATTTTGGTGAAGATCCATCCAAATCCTGTCAAGTAGTTACATGGACATAAAACAGACAGTACTATTACATTTATACTTATTAACAATATTTTGTTTTCTTGGAAAATAGTCTGAGTTTTTAATTTTAAAAATTATTCATCTTCTCAAAACAATTAATAAGCTCAAGAACAGTAAATGATTTTTGATTAAGTGGTCTAATGTTATGATACAACTTCAAAAATTCACAAAAATGCTCTCAGGTGATGTTGGTGCTTAAAAATGTCAGAGTCCGAGGATGTGACTACTGGCTAAATTTTAACTTAATAGGTTCATAACTTCCTTAATTTCCTAGGAATAATAGAATTGAGAAAAACAAAACAAAAAACATACAAAGTGAAAAATTGGAATTTCCAACTTTTCAAGCAAACCGTCTCTAATTTTGGAGTATACGCTGTGTTGTACGATTGAAATTAAAAGAGCTAACGATATTTTCTGATTCATAATTTTATACGGAATCAAAAAGTACATGTTTTAGTTGATGCAAACTCTGAATTTATATTGAAAAATACTGTTTTTGTTTATTCTAAATGCTGAAGATATATATATATATATACACAGAGTGGTCACAAGTAAATAGACACCTAATTTTTCGTCATTTAACTGATTTATGCTAACTAATTTGTGTTCACAGAGCAGTATATAAATGAAAATGGTCCAAACACTAATTATCTTGTGCTACAACATGCCTAGAACTCAAGGTTCTCTCGAATTGTCAGATTTTGTTAGAGGAAGGATAGTTG